GTCTCTCTCTCTCTCTCTCTCTCTCTCTCTCTCTCTCTCTCTCTCTCTCTCTCTCTCTTGCCGTAAATTAGTTGTAAATTAGTGCAAATCAAATCTTATTTTAGTGGAATTTGCAACACATTTGGAACACATCTTGCATGTGGAACTATTGATATATGGCACTGTTCTCGTTTCAATGGCAAAATTCTTATCAAGATGACAACATAGCTTTGTCATAATACGTTTTATTTATTTCTCTTTGTAAGCAAATATCTTTACGTCTTTTATCCACGTCAGAAAGTCAGAATTTTACAAAATATATGATTGAAAGATCTCGTTTAATGTATTTAGAATAAATATAAAAGATATTTCATTATTTCGATTTTATACCCCTTATTTTAGGATACCTCTCGAAATATCACAGAACAGCGTTGCATTTGTTTCATTTCTTCCGCCAGCCATGCAACATTCGTACGTTCGATTTTTATGTCTTTTCCTCCATAAATATAATATAATTTACTCTAGACGGTTACCTGCCCGTTTTTATAAACATTAAATATCCTCAATTTCTTAAAAGACCGACGGAGGTTGGAGCTACTCTTTCCCCGATTATTCCTTCGGTTGTCTGCAACTCAAAGGCCTTCTTCTTCATCGAGAACATGTCTTCGATTTCACGAAGGGTCTTTCCCTTCGTCTCAGGTAGGAAGAATAGGATGAATACGACCCCAACCAGAGACACGATTGCGAAAAAGAGAAACACACCGTGCATACTCATTTGGGCCAGCATATCCGGATACGTTTTGACGGTCACCGCGCTGAAGAGATAACCTAGGCAAACCGTCGAGCCGGACAATATATCTTTGACCTTGGACGGGTATACCTCGCCCACCATGGCGAAGGGCATGACCAGGAAGCCCAGAGTACTCGTAAAGATATACATCACCATGCAGATCACCGGGACCACCCCGTTGTCCGCCATAACCGTGCCCTTTTCCGCCAGGAAGAGATAGAGCGACAGGCCGCCCATAAATATCGTCATGCCGATGCCGGATATCATCGATGGTATTCGTCGACCGAATTTGCGAGACACGCCGGCCGTCAGAAGACTGGCTATGAAACGGGCGACCCCTATCAGTACGGCCCCGAGATAAGGATCTACCTTGACACCGGACTTGGCCATGATCGCGACGGCGTTGTATATGACGACGAAGATTCCGGAGAATTGTTGGAAGAAGAAGAACGCGATCATTATACCGAACGGTACCAAGGAGCTCCTTTTCACCAAGTGCTTCAGTATATTCTGATTTTTCTTCTGCGGTCGTGGCTTCAGCTCAAACAGAACCTCCGCCGTGGCTGGCTGGTCCTTCGGTATTCCGCGAAATCTTTTCATGATCTCCAGCGCTTCCTCGGGCCGATTCTGGTCCCGCAGCCATAGAGGAGTCTCTGGTACCACCAGCAGGGTGAGGGCGATCGCGCACAACGGAAATAGGGCGCACAGCAGAGCCACCAGTCGCCAGTCGTCCTTTGAGAGAAAAATCGAGATTATTATTATTATTATTATTATTATTATTATTCATATATATTAATTAATATTATGAGCATTTACCTTAATGATATATCCGAAGATATAAACAATAAGAACACCGAGAGCAATTGAGATACTGGTCCACGTGACCATCGTGCCTCGCCATTTCGGTCCAGCTATTTCTGCCACGTACACCGTCGTCGGAACCGACGCCATACCGGTGGATATTCCGGAAATCGCTCTTCCTATCAGGATCTGCGTGTAACTGTTCGACATGTAAATGGTCACCCAACCCGCCATCGAGATGAACGATGTCACGAACATGCTGATCTTCCTTCCTCGTCCCATCACAGCGCTCGAAAGTAAGCAGCCGATAGGCGTACCCAACGCCGATACGGTAGCTGTGGCGCAAGAAACAATTACGATTAAAGTTTATTCCTAATAATTTAACAAGTTTCAAGGGAAACTGGTTAAAGGGGTGAATTTTTCGTGACACCGACCCATCCAGTTCGCTTGGACAGCGTCAAGCCGCAAGTCGTCGGAATTTTTTGGGTTCATCATCGCAGGTTCCGCTACAGCGCTGTAACCGAAACCCATCGCAGGCCCCAGTACTACAACATTGGCGCATAAAGCCATCAGTATCTGTTAAAAAAAAAAGAGAGAGAGAGAGAGAGAGAGATCGTAAATCAGAGGAAAACTGGAGATATCGGTGAATTGTAATGAAAACGTAACGGTAGCGTGCGAAAAATCTTAAGAAAAATATTTGTATATTGCGTTGCAAAACGTGAGCTCTCGGTAAACTTTTCAAAATGGAATATTTATGGCTAGACCATTGTTTACATGTTGCAAAACATGTGCGCGAAAAGCGCGGTAAACAGATGCGGGAGGTATTGCAGTTATCGTATCACCAAAGGCTAAGGTTAACTGAAGCATATCAGTCGGGCATCGAATTTTTTATCTGAATAATTTCCCTTATCATGCCAACTGCTGCAGCTGTTATACATGCGAATAACATTAGAACCGGTTTAACGAATAATCGCGAAGGAAGGCGCAGCCGACAATTAAATGCGCCTTAAAAACTCGCGGTGGAAAATGATGGTTTTTTTTTATGATGGCTTAAAGGCGAATTAATACGTAGTGCCTATTATCCTTTTCAAGATATCGAGATAACTACCGAATGGAAAATCTCATAATGAAGATAGAGTATATCTTATCGCCATTGATCTGGAAGATTTTGGGAATTTTTATGTGACGTCAGAGATAAGCAAAAATTATATATATATATATATATATATATATATATATATAT